ATAAAATGAGAAAGAGAGAAATCAAATACAATTTGAAAATTGTATAAAACGAGAAAGAGAGAAAGACAAAAGAAAGTGGGCAAGGGAGTATTTTTATTGTATAATTATAAGTGTATAGGACGAAAATATATTTACTTGCATTTGTATATACAATTTTCTCACGCTTTATACAAACAAAAACACAATTTATACATTTCGCTTCTGTTTGTATAAGTAAGAAATGCGAGGGTGGCGAGAGAGATCTGGAAGAGAGGGGAACAAAAACATATGTATTTATACAATTTTCTCTGCTTTATTAATTTTGAAACAATTTTTATACACTTCTGTTTGTATAAAAAGTGAGGAAGCGAGCGAGAGATTGGAGGAGAGTGGCGTGCGAGAGATTGGAGGAGAGTGGCGAGCGAGATATTTGGGAGAGAGGCGCCTGAATTTTTTTTGCAAATATTTGCTATAGAGCATAATTAAATCAAACTCTAGCTACTGCATTTATTTTAGGTTATTAATTTGCTATTATATATAATTTTTCCGAAAAAAAATATGTACTAGGGTAGTTTTAGGCCTATTATTAGAAGGCCAGAAGTGACTTAAAGCAAACCATAAACATTATCTGAATTGAATTTGCAATAAATGTGCAATTTCAGTTGAAATGTATAGGAGAAAGAAAGTTTAGTACATCAATGTTATTATTATATTTGAGAGTGTGTGGCTGAATATTGTCAATCTCTTTTTATTTAATTCTTTATATTTTTTTTCGTTAGAGATACCCAATTAATATTATGATTTTGGCAATACGAAAGAAATGATTGTGAAAAATGAAATTTTATTATCGAATAAAAGAATTGTTTGTTTACGATTCAGTAAAAATACTCGTTAAGAGTAGTCTTCCTTTTGTTGATGTCTTTTTATATTTGAATTAGTTAAAAAAAACAAAATTAGGAAAAACAAGCGAGAAAATAGAGTGCTAATTAAAGTTACTCATAATATTTTATAAATATCCCGTTAAATTTTTCTAGGGAAAAAGCTAACATTTCATTAAACCTTCGAAAAATGCTTATTTATGTCATAAGTTAATAGTTTGGCTCATTTATATTATTGTTAAAGAAAAGGTTTATTCATGCCATTATATTTTAACGATGGTTTTGCAAAACTATTTTTGACACATGACCAATTGAAGAATTTTTTTTGGATTATTTTATTACATAAATTGATGATATGGTCAATTATAATACGCCCACATCATCAATTTTTTAAAATTAAAAAAATCAAAATTATGAATAAAAATTGAATTTTTCTTTGATTTTTTTTACTAAAAAGGATTGATGACGTGGCCGAATTATAATTGATCATATGTCAAAAATGGTTTTGCAAAATCACCGTTAAAAATAATGACATGAATGAGCATTTTCTTTAACAGTAATGACATAAATGAGTCAAAGTTTTAACTAATGACATAAATGAGTTTTTTCTGAAAATTTGATGGCATATTTGAGTCTTTTTTCATTTTTCTATAACAATCATCCTTTATAATAAGTACAGAACACTATAAAAATCAAATTTCTTTAGAATCAATTTTTTATTTTATGTTATATTATATAATAACATCATTCCTCTATACCAATTAAAATATTTCAAAATAAAATTACGTTATTATAATAAGATTCAAGTATTTAATTACACATAATTTTCTTTCTCGTGATAAAATAGAGAAGTACTATCCTTAAAATATATTCTCATCATTATCATTTTTAAAGCTGAATCACGCACTATAAAATATTCAACATGATGTTTCTAATATGATTTTTTTCGTATTTGAAACTTGAACTTAAATTTCTTATTATAAATAAAATAATCTTATCATTATACCACAATTCTAAATATTTAGTAGCAATTAAATTGTGGCTCGTAATTTTTGTTGAACATGTGAATAAAATCAAATAGAACTTCTTTTGATCGATTTGACCATTCCACTTTCATAGATAGCCAAAAAGAACTTAAATTGTTGAATTTGTGGCCCCTAATTAATGGGCGGTCCCACACATGTATAATTACATTCTTATTGACTTTTTTGGTTTATAAATATTTATAATAATTATCTTATATTTTATTTGATCCTTTCGGATTCAAATTAATTGAATTTATCGACTTTTAGTTTTTTATTTAGGGCAATTTTTTATATATAGCAAATAAAAAATTTATATTTGTATGTTATAGCAAAGTTTACAATTGCGTTCCATAACAGACATAGAAACTGTATAATTCGTTATACATATACAGTTAAAGCAAATTATATAAAACAAGAAAGAGAAAGATATTTAGGCAGAAAACTATATAAAAACGAAGTATATAAAAGAATTGTATTATTATAAGTTTATAGAACGATTATATACAATTTTAATTTATATAAAATGAGAAAGAATGAAAGACAAAAGAGACTTGACAAGGAATATACAATTGAATCGAATTGTATAAAACGAGAAAGAGAGAAATTAGATACAATTTGAAAATTGTATAAAACGATAAAGAGCGAAAGGCAAAAGAAACTGGGCAGGGGAGTATTTTTATTGTATAATTATAAGTGTATAGGACGAAAATATATGTATTTGCATGTGTATATACAATTTTCTCACGTTTTATACAAACGGAAACGCAATTTATACATTTCGCTTTTGTTTGTATAAGTGAGAAAAGCGAGGGTGGCGAGCGAAATTTGGGAAAGTGGCAAGCGAGATCTGGAAGAGGGGAGAGAGGGGAACAACAATATATGTATTTATACAATTTTCTCTATTTTATACAATTAGAAACAATTTTTATACACTTGTGTTTGTATAAAAAGTGAGGATGCGAGCGAGAGATTGGAGAGAGTGGCGAGCGAGATATTTGGGGGAGAGGCGCCTCACAATTTTTTGCAAACGTTTGCTATGGAGCACAATTAAATCAAACCCTAGCTACTCCATTTATTTTAGGTTATTAGTTTGCTACTATATAATTTTCCCTTTTATTTATCATTTTTGAATAAGGATTTTTTTATTTGTTTTAATAAGTGAAAATGTTCTTTGCGTCTAATATATACAAAGATTGATCTCATTTGCATAATGATATTTCAAATTATCCTCTATTAGTTTTATAAATCTCAAAAATCTCTCATTTTCACACATCAAATTAATGTATTTTACGCATTAAATTAATGTATTTCGCTTATCAGATTAGTGTATCATGTGTAAAATATACACCAAATTAGTGTATCGTGTATAAAATGTAATGTATCTTTCGTAACAATTAATGTATTTCGTGCATTAGATTAATGTATCAATACTTATATTATTGTATCAGCTTGGGGAATTTTGTAATTATAAACTTATAAGGAAAAAATGATAATTTTACCTTAAAAGTATGTGATTTTTGTCATTTACCCATTATTTTTTTTTAGGAGTATATATTCCAATTTATTGAAATTAAATTGATACTTAATAAACGGATTCTTTGTACACATCTAAGGAATATATGTACAGATAAATTACACCCAACGCAAATTACTAAATTACGTTTTCATCAAAAGTTTTAGACAATACTAAGGTAAATCTTCCCATATATACTAAATTAGATCTTGTAAGATTAAGGAATCTTATCTAATTTTTTAGGGAAACGTTAGAAATAAATTTGAATTTTGATCGAAATTGTCGTAATGATATTAAATTTTGGGAAATATCTTTTAGTCCTCTACACTATTTAATAGTGTATTTTCAGGTATATATGTGTCCACGTGGACATTATAAATATTGCATAATTATAAATAGTAGTGTGTCTATGTGAACACATATATATCTTTAAAATATATTATTAAAGAGTGCAGTAAATATCCTCCATAGAATTTGATATTGTAAAAACAATGTCGATCAAAATTAAAATATTTTTCTGATCCTTTTCTTTTTTAAAAAAAATCTAAGGTCATGTAATTAAATTACTGTTCTCCTGTCATTTTTAACAATATAATCCAGGAAACTCGAGTTTGACACCAAACAAAGATATTTTAATCTTAATCAAAAATTAAAGTAAAAATACACATTAATCAAATATTTTTAAATTATTATTTTTAAAAAAAAAAGATATTTCTGATTTTCTAATATTAGAATTAGTTTCCAAATCCAATATATTTTCGAATAAAATAATTCTAGTCAAAAACACTATATGGATATAAAGTGTTAGCAGTAAAAAGCAATTTATTAATATCTCTTGAATATAATATCACATACGTATTAGAATCTGCTCCAACTATTAAATTTCATCATAATTTTAAACAAACTTATCTTACTCCTATTCAAATTGTCTTACTTTGTTTTTTTTTTGTTTGTTCCAAAGAAATTATATCTATTTTTGTGTACGGTAACTTTTTAATCCAAATATTCTTATTAATTTTAGACATAATAATGATACTCCCTTATGCAATGACGGAGAGTTAGAGTCACAATTCTTACCAAGAGAGTTTAAAATTTGAAGAAACAGACACATGAACTAGTCAAAAAAAAAACTAACATCGAATGTACATACATAATTTCTTTTTAATTAATCACGTATATGCATAATAGTATTTTTTTACCAAAAAAGATTCAAATAAACCCTACGAATAAGAAAATATTTATATACATTAAATCCTCTCGACTTACTTTTTTTAATTTCTTTTACTTCTCTATATTTTGATATTCAAAAATCCGATATTGCTAGTGCTTATAAGAAAATAAACGACACATTAATATTATTGTAAAAGATGTAATTTTCTTAAATTTTATATGCGATATTACGATTAAATTAAAACACATAAAATGAAATCAATAGCGAACAAATACTTCCATACATAGAACTTGGAATATAATATATAATAATATCTTGCTACAATTAATTTCTTACGTGTCACTATTCCATAGACCCCTATATAAATATATAGATATCCTTTAATGTTATCAATTAAGAAAAAAAAAAACTATAACATACATAAATATTATAACATGGAGGGAAATTCATCTAGAGGAAAAAAAGCCATGCAAGAGAAGGATGAAGTAAAATACCGCGGTGTTCGTAGGCGGCCGTGGGGTAAATTCGCGGCGGAGATACGCGATCCAACCACCAGGCCCGGTTCCCGACAGTGGCTAGGTACGTTTGATACTGCTGAAGAGGCGGCTAGAGCTTATGATAAGGCAGCATTTAACCTGAGAGGACATCTTGCTACCTTAAATTTTCCTAATGAGTACTATAATCAACTTTCTTGTCCTCCTTTATATTATGGTAATAATAATAACAACATTATTTGTTCATCAACAAATAATGTTTCAAGAGGAAAAGGAATTAGTTCATCATCATCAACAAATTATAAAGGTAGGGAAATTATTGAACTTGAATGTCTTGATAATAGTGTTCTTGAAGAACTTCTTGGTGTGGAAGATCCAAAAATTACAAAAAGAAAATAAAAGTATTGTAAACTTTATTTTTATAAATTTGAGTTTCATGTAATTTATTGTTGAGTTTAAGCTTATTAATCATCATCAATATGCAAAACTTTTTGTTTTAATTTTATTAATTAATCTCCGCTTGGAAAAAGCTAATGAACAAGAAATATAGATCGAAGGGTGATCAAGCTATGAATACCTACAAACATGAGACTGCTCCACTCTTAATCAGTAGTTTCTGAATTTGAGCGCTGAGTTTGAAGAAAATCATGTTGGGAGCGCCACCTTCAGAATGAATCCTGCGATTCAGATTTAACTGAAATTTCTATGCGAAAAAACTATATTGTATATATAACATGTATTTTTTACTATTAAATCTTGAGCACCATCAATAAAATTTGTAGTTATATATGGCTATCGAGAATTTGAGACATGTATTTTCTTATTGAGATTTCTATACATTAATTTCTTGATATATTTGATAAATATTGTTGTTATGGTATCTTTGTTGAGAAGGTGAAATGCTGAAATAGTAAGTTTGATTATATCGTCTATTGGTTACTTTTGACATATTGAAGGAATAAACAATCTTTAATTTATTCCTAGAATAAGTCAAGAAAGAAATAGGATAAGATATAAAGATGGTATAATTAATCAGATAATTAGTTGAAAAAATAATGTTAAAATAAAGTTGAAAAATTTATAATAATGAAATACATTATTTGTCCTTTCATTTACACATAACCCCTCCAAAAGAAAAATGTTGATTATATAATATACATCATGCGTGTCCAATTTAAAATGCATTTCTTGTGCAAAATAAGGAAAATCACTAGTGAAATTACTGTGTTTTAAAGAGTGAATCACTTTATAATTATTCCCCTTTGACTCATTCAAATAAAGAATAAATAGAAAAAAGAATAAAGTTCAAAATAAACACATGATATTAGGAGATGCCATTTCTAAGTAAAAAGGGATTATTGTCTAAAAATGTTCAAGATTAATTAAAAGTAAGCAATTTGGGTATACGTGTTCCGATACGGAGAAAAATATTTATTTTTAAAAAAAAATGAAAATAAGGAAAATGATTTTCTTAGTATAAATTAAGAAAATATGTTTCACAAGCAAGTAAGCGATACCTCCATTTACATCCGTCACACACTCCTATCCCATCCACTCGAGTATTTCTCTATAACTTATATATAAATATTTTTCACTGATATATCGAATATAAATTATGATAGAACGATGATAATTAACACTCAAAATCTTCCAATATATGTAAATTCTGAATCTTCTTTTAAGATTACATGCATGGGGAACATATATGGTGACACCATGATAAGGTACCTATATGCCAAAAATGAATTTCAAATGTTATCTAAGTACGACTAATTATATTAATTAATTAATTAAGAAAACGATACAACGCTACCTTTAATATTTATTAATTAAGTTTGTGTTTTACTTCTCTAAATAAACACTGTGATTAGCTTTTTATATATTCTTTTTTTCTTCTTTGGGAAATTTAATATGTGTGCTCATGACTCAAAAAATAAAAAATAAAAAAATAAGAAATTACTAGAAATATATTAGTAGTAGTTTTTAAAAGATTACCCTTTATACTCAATTTATAAAAGAACATTGATAAAATTGAATACTCAGCAGGTATATAATAAATATACATTTTATACCTTCAGGATAAGCTTTTCTTTTATACATACTACAGGCTTCGAAAATTCTTTGCCCTTGGTTTGTTTCCTACTAAGGAAATTAAACGATTTTCTTAATTAATTTTAGTGTTTGGTTAATAAGTAACAGAAAATCACTTATTTTTTTATCTTGACCCGATCCAAACCAAAACACGATATTGCCGATCTAGAATTGATTCGGGACTTGACTCCTAACCCTGACCGGAGACCCAAGAACCAACCCTGATTCGGGACTCCACTCCTAACCACGATCCAAGAGTCGGGATTAGGAGTCGTTGCCTAGGTGGAGGTCATATCCATGATCTCGAATTGGATGGTGAGGCTGAAAGAGATTTTAAAATATTTTATTGAGTTTATTATCGATTTAATGTATCTATATATGAAAAACTGATAAATCAAACCAATAGTACACGTACAAAACAAGACTTACATGTGATGAAGATAAGACTTACAGTTTAATAGTACTTATAGGTATGAGTTCAATTCTCACAATCTCTTCAATACTGATTTTCGATGTAAATGAAAAAAATAAATAAACATAGACCTATTAATGATCCCTTACTATTAGTAGAAATTATGTCCAAATATATGTAGCATGAATGTGACAGATATCAAAAAAAAATTGGACATGGAGTCATGGACTCAATTTTATTAGGTGTCAGCCCATAATAGTCAACCTAATGAAGAAATTATGAATGGCCACAAACTTTTTTATCAACTTGCATTTCTTTTTGTCAGTGGAATAACTGACAAAAAATATATGAAAAAGCATATAGCTAAAAATTTGTTGAGAGAATATGACAATTAGTATTTATGATCATAAAGACTTGCAATTTTTCTTTTGTTGACCTTTCAACATTTGCATTTACCAAATATAGTACTAGTACAATTGAGTTACAAGAATTGTAGCAACAAATTGATTGCTAAAATTCAAAATTAAGGGAAAAAAATGAAAATTTCATAGTGAAATTAAAATAGAGTATATGATAAATAGACATAGAACATTATTTAAATTAGTGGACGGAGCTATAGAGGCGGAAGGGGATTCAGACCAATTACATTATTCAAATTAGTGGACGGAGCTAGAGGGGCAGAAGGGGTTCAGACGAAACACTTTTTTCTGTAAAAACCATATTGTATAAGTAAGATATAAATATTTCTTTTTTCTTGAACTTATATATGATAAATGATGAGCTTTCTTAGTGAAAACTTTTTGCATGCGTCCGTCACATTTGAAATGATCTTTATTTCCTCTTGTTTGGCTCTTCATCACAATCAAGAAGTTCCTCCAACAACTTATCATCCAAATATTCAAATTCAAGAACTTGCCTCGAGGACGATGACGATGATGATGAAGCCATTGATGATGAAGAATAAGAACCGGCACTATAAAAATGTGAAGAGCTACTAGGTAAATTATACTCCTCAGGAAAATTTAGTATAGCTAAATGTCCCCTCATTGAATAAGCTGCCCTATCATAAGCTCTTGCTGCTTCTTCCGCAGTATTAAATGTCCCTAGCCATACACGTGCCCCTTGTCGTGCTGAGTCACGTATCTCCGCTGCAAATTTACCCCACGGACGCCTACGTACGCCTCGATATTTTATCTCTCCGCCACCACCATTAGTTCTTCTTTCATTGCTAGGATCTTGTTCCATGTTTAATTTTAATTCCATCGCTTATTAATGGACTCTATATATATATATATAAGGTGGCAAAGTGATTTTGGCGCTTATAAAAAGGGTACAAAATTTTGGTCTTTGGTTTTAAAAAATGGACGATGAAGAATAAGCCAAGTGGAATATCGTAGGGTCCAAAAATGTTCCCACGTGCTGAAAAAGAAACTTCTTTTTATTTTTTTTTTAGACCAAAGTTTTGATGCAATGTATCTGGAATGGTCAAACGATGGCTATTTTGAAAAAGAATTCAAGTCTTCTTTTTTTTTTTCATCAGCTTTTAATTTTTGCATGCATGTGTATTGACTTCTTTTTGGTATAATATATGTTTCAAGTAATAAATAGTTGTTGGTTTTTTATAAAAAATAAATAAAAGAGTGAGCTATTATTAAAAAATATTGGTCAAACTTTATATGTTGTACCTTTTTAAGTTTAAGGTAATTAAGTGATATTTTTCTACTTTGATGTAAAGTGAAGAATTATGTGACTATCTATTTATTAGTAAGTATTTAAGAAATATAATACGTGTCATTACTTATCACGTTTATATAGTTAGCATGACACGTGTTACTAGTATGAGAGTAGATTTGTATATGTGTGACATGTGTCTCACTTATATCGCATTTGCATTATGCTTGTGTGATCATTTTCTATGTATAAATAGTTCATGCGTTCATCTCGCATCAAGAGAGTAGTATTTTAATTAAATACTCTATTATATCTTAGTTAGATACATCTCTCAACTACAATTCATAGTTATTCCCATAAAAAAAAGTTAGAAAGAGCTCAATACCAAAGGAAAACTCAAGTTATGTTATAGTTTAATTACCTCCGTTGAAAATAATTCAAAAGCGTTACACATTCAGGTATGTTTCTTAATTAAAGTAATAATATATAATGTATAAATTATTAAGTTTCATGATTTTTAAAATTATTTTGATTTTTCAATTAGATTATTTATGTTTCACCATATATAATCGAGAAAACAATAACACCTTTTTAATGATGAAAATAAAATTTGGAAAAATAAAAAAACCAAAATAATTTTATGTGGGGGCACATTAAGGTTTATAGTGTCCATTGAGTTGATGTGAGGTCACTTGCTTATGCACTTGGCTCTACGTATAACGAAATAATAAAAAATAGTCTTTTCCCATACAGTAAAATTATTTTGTAGGGTATACATTCATTAAATTTATTAATAGTGAGATTTAATAATGCAAAATATTAATTATGCGGTAGGATTTTTATTTTCTACTCGTTGGCTGTTGGAATTTTAAACGTCGAGACATGAGAATCAATGAGTTGGAGGTGAGTTTCATATATATATATATAGAGAAGCGTAAAGTGACAGGACAACCAAAGGTAAAATTGTAATTTCATTCTAACAAAAAATTATTAAGAAAGATAGTAAATAATTTTAAAGAGCCACATTATTTGATAAAAATGATAGCAAAAAAATTAAATATTTCTAGAGACATCTTTAATTATTTTTATTACTATTAACTTATTTTGTTATTTTTTCACTTCTTTTAGTAATTCAATTAATCGTACTTTTAATTTAGTACTTGACATTTATTTATAAAAGATCGATAGTTTTGATTATAAATTGATTTTTAAATTAGTAAGATTAATATAATTATTACTTATAATTATGTGAAAAATATATCTGATAGCTATTAAAATATTATGCTTAAAATGACAAAATAAAAGTCAAGATGATTTTAGAATATTTTTGAGGTATTTTTGACGTATATAAATTTTATTTGGCTATACTTTGAATTGAAGAAGGTTAACCAATTAATTAAAAACATGAAGGTCCAAAATTGAGGGTCAAAACACAAATAATTTATCCAAAGGGTCTAGACGTGGAAATGTACTACATTACTATACGTAATTTTTTCCCTTTAACTTAAAACAAATAAAAAGGATTCCAAGATATTCTAGTAATGCATAAATATTGTATGAGTTTATTTTTATCAAATAATGTGTCTCTTTAAAATTATAAATACACTTGTCATATCGATATTCTATATCACATTTTCTCACTTCCTCAAAGTAAAATTTAGTTTTTGAAATCAAAATGGAGCTTACCAACATTGAAAGGTCGCTAACTCCAATGTAATAATTAAAGTATCACGAGCTTCAACAACTGGAAGACCTCCTGAAAATAGCAATTGAGAAAATTGATGAAGCTTTGGCAAAGCTACAATTGGAGTGTGGCGGTGTTTGATTCTGATATACTCTAAAAGTAATTTGGCTCTTTCAGATGATGAGTAATATTTTCCATCAAGTTTCGATGTTTCACAAAGTTACATAAGGAGCGTGATTGTGTTTTTCTATCTGAAATCCTTAAAATTGATTTGGCTTTTTTAGAGGATGAGTAAAATTTTGACGATTCTTCGTCAAATTTCATTGTTTCACCAACTAGGTCTGGCTAATCATATTAATGGTTTTAATTTTACATTTAAATATGTATATATTGTATGAAACGAAATAAAATTTATGTCTTTTATTCAATATGCGTTAATTTTTCATTCATTGACATTGAAAATATATGTTTTGAATGATTTCATAATCAATTAATCTGTTTGTGTATTGACAAGTGAAATAAACGAATAATGTTCTGAAAAATCCCTAAATATATAATAATTAAATATATATATATATATATATATATATATTATTTGTATATGCACAAGAGAAATATACGAACGGATAGAAATCTACAGTCACAACCTCCAATACAAAAGGAACTATAGTTATATAACACAATTATCGAAACGATAGCTATAGAGTTTTATCATGTCTATTATGTTTATCATTTAATTTGTTATTTTTTTTCTCTACTTTTATACCTCTACAAGTCTTGGGTCTAAAAGTTGGCCCAAAAACAAATTTGTTCCAGATTGAATTACCCACATCTATATTGGGCCCTCTACTGGGCTTTTCATCCAAAAGGAAATATTTTGATGAAGCAAAATAAGTTTCTTAACTCTCCGTCAATATAAATTTAGAGGTGAATTTAAAATTTTTTCGTATATGAGCGTACCCCTTAAAAAAAGAAGGAAAAATGTATGAAGAGTAAATTGAAACCGTAGTCCTATAGATAAATATCGCAAACAGTCGATCAATTTAATTCTTTAGTTTTCTTGTGGTGTGGGTGTCATTAGATAATAATTTTGTAATTGTTTTAAAAAAAATATACGCCTACGACAAATCGTTATATGACAACATTACGAATTCAGGAGTTTCATTTTTAGCGTTAAAATTCACCTCTATGTATCTTGATAATTAATGAGTTAATCTTTTTAACTCAACGAGATAACTATTCATTCGCATTAATGAACTTATCAGTAATTAAGTTGTGAATGATATTAATTTGACAAGATGAAATATTTGTTTTGAATATAAATTGATTTTTCAAATTAGTAGGATTGACATAGTGTTTACTTATAATTATAGGTCAAATACATATAATATCTATTAGAATATTATGCTTAAAGCGACAAAATAAAAGTCAAAATTATTTTACTTTTATAAACACTTATTTTATTATATTTTTAATTGAAGAAGGTTGACCAATTAATTAAAAATATGAAGGTCAAAATAGAGTGTCAAATAATTTATTTAAAGGATCTAGACGTGAAAATGCACTAAATTACTATACATAATTGTACATGAGTTCATTTCATCAAATAATGTGGCTTTTTAACACTATAAATACATTTGTGATATTGATATTCTGTATCACATTTTCTTAATTTATCAAAGTAAAATTTAGCTGTGGAAACCAAAATGGAGCTAATCAACATTGGAAGGTTGCTAACAATTCCAATTGAAGAACTGAAGTATCATGAGCTTCAACAGCTGATAGAGATTCTGAAAGTAGCAATTGAGAAAATTGCTGAAGATTTGACGAAGCTACAAAAGGAGTTCGCTACTATTTTTCCATCTGTAAAAGTTGGAAGCGATGTGGCTCGTTCAAAGGATGAAGAGTGAAATTTTTAGCCAAGTTTCGATTTTTGACCAACTAGGTCTTGCTAATCTATCTATGATTTCAATAATTTTCATTTCAATATGTTTATCATTTATGAAATGAAATAAAAAAACTTATCTCTTTTATTTGGTAGTATTAATTTTCATTCTTGACATTGTAATTATATGACTTGAATTGACAAATAATAAAAGATAAAAATTAGATAACATAAAGAATTAAAAATCATGTTAGTTAGCTTTTCAACAAAACCTAAACTCATTAAAAAGTGGGGAAAATTGTGCAGGAAAATTGTGCAGAATAGCAAGTATATTTAAGCCATATCAAATGATATAACTATTTTTTAGGGAAAGTCAAATTCACATCTATCCATATATATATATAAAAAAAATCTATCTTGTATAATTCGCCTGATTAGTATGATTTGCCGATTTGCATAAATTCCCAATTTGTAAAATTGGATTCTGGATTGTACAAAATCAAAATTTGGTATATGCTGACTCTATCCATTTGTATACGATTAATAAATTCATAATGAACTACCTTGTTTGTATATTGGCAAATGAAATATACAAAAAAAAGTTATGAAAAATTCAAGAATATATAAATACAAAATTTTATATACTTACCCTATTTGTATATTCACACACGAAATATACAATCGGGTAGAAATACACAACCACAACCTTCATAAAAAAAGAAACTATAACTACGGAACACAATTATCAAAACTATATTTATAGAGTTTTATTAATGTATAATTAAATATATTATGATTACTATTGCTGAAAGTTCTCTTTAAATTATACGTCTTCAAGTCCTCGATCAACTTAAAAGTTGGCCCAAAAAAAAATTATTCCACATTGAATTACCCACACATATATTAAGCCTTCTAATGGGATTTTCGTCCAAAAGAAATATTTTGATGAAGGGATAATATATTTATTTCGTTGTGTCAATTTGAATTTAGACGCAGATTAAAATTGTTTAGTATATGAGTGTACCCCTAAAAAAGAAAGGGAAAAATATATGAAGAGTGAAAAAATCTCTTAGTCCCATTTTAGATAAATATAGCAAACACTCAATCAATTAAATTCTTTAGCTTTCTTATAGCATGGGTGTCACTAGATAATAGTATACTAATTATAAAAAAATATACCCCTAAAATA